CTCTCTCTCTCAAAATCTCTCTCTCTGTCTCTCTCTCTCTCTCTCTCTTGCAAAAATCTGTATACACACACGCTAAATTCAATCTTCCTCAAATCAACACTATTTTTAATCCCTAAAAAATCTAAATTTCTACTAAAAGTTATTCCATAGCTTTCCTATGTCTGAAACCAATTTTTAAATTCCATTTTGAATATTTAGAAAAGTTACAGAAAAGCTTAACTACCACTGAAAATCCTTTCCTATATCAACAAGTCTCTATATTCCTCAAGTTACTACTCAAAATTACAAAAAACCATTACTAGCAACCCTATCTCTAAACTGTAAGTCTCTCCCTATTCCTTAATTCAATTTTTAATGTCCATTCTCAAACCTAACCTCCTCTGTCACCCTTTCACCCCCCCGTTTCGTCCACCACTCCTTTCCGTTTCCCCTCCCTTTCATTGATCAAACTGTTCAAATCAAATGTTCCCAAAAACGCATCCTCACATTCCATCCTCCACCTTCATGGAATCGAGGCCACACATATATCATGTAGCCTGTACCTGTTCCCAACTCGTTTCCCGATTCGTTTCCAATCAAACTTCCAACAAGGAACACCGTATCTCCCTGGTTGAAAAAGGAGTGGGGTGTGGAGGGCAGGGACGAGCCAAGAAACACACGCGCCAGGGTGGGACCGTCTTGATCGTTTTGACTCGATCTATCCCCACGATCGATATACCCATTCCCACCATCGTTCGGTTTTGGCCTCGTTTAACGTTTCACGTGCCGATGAAATCGTACCACCACCGCGTGTACAAACGTAGCCATCGAACGACACCAAAGTTATAAAGCGGACCTGTGAAGCGGTTGCGAGGCGCTGCCACTTTGCCGATCGACTTCGTCGCACCACGATCCTCTTCTCCCGTGAGACGAGTAGAAACACCGATCCTTGGCGGCACCGATCCGCTGGTGTCAGCTGTGCTTCACTGAACGATCGTAAAACGGATCATGTTCCTCTGGTGATCACGTGTAGCAAACAAGATACGAGGATATTAGTATATCGATAGAAGACTGTGACGATTTTTTCCTTGTTCGTTCTTTTTTTTTTTTTTTTTTCTTTAATATTTCGTTTCGTTATCTGAGAATAATTTCGGTGTGCCCACCCCGGAAAGACGAAGGATCACAATCCCGCCCATTGGTTTCGTGAGGATAGAGTGAATAAAGGTAAGACGATCTTCGATTTCGATATATCGAGTGCGATGCGTTATATCGATTTATAACCTTCGATATTGAGGGTTAGTTCTTTGACTGATAGATGGGGAGCGTGACGCTTATTGTGTATACGACGGTTCAGAAGAAACGGTCAGATGTGAAAGTTTATGTATGATACATTCGTTTAAAATAGTTTATTTAAACAATCGAAACGAAGTAAGAGTGCATGTTGTCCACGGACGTTTGAAGAAGTTGCATATGCTTATGTATTGATATATACTTTTTCTTGACACCCCGAAATTTTTAGGTTAAACATTCTTTTATTGTTTTGTGTTTAGAAGGAAGTGACACTTTTACCTGAGAAACTTGTACTTTCAATTTTAATATTTTGCAAATTTTGAGATTCAAACCTCTTCCTTTTTTTGAGAGTTTTCTTTCGAATAATTCTGACACTGGATTGTACGTAGACTTTTGTGATTACATTTTCGTGTATCGTTCATATGTATAAAGAGGGGTTAGTACCTTTAGACAGTGTTTCCATTTAGTAAGAGATTGGTGCTGAACCCTTCAAGCACTGTTACCAGTCCGAAGTTTAACTGTTGCATAAGGGTACGTAAGAATTTGATATCGGATCTATTCGATAGTTGGCTCAGATCGAAATTTCAGAAATGAGAGATTGTAAGAATATCTCAATTTCCAAAAATTTCTGAGAATATTTTGTGATATAAGAATATTCAAGAAACAGAAAAGTAATAAATCAATATTTCTTGTTTCAGTCTTTTAATTTTCTTCAAAAGTGATTTATTTATAATGTTGGCAACTGTTTGAAACTGTTTAAGATTAAGTATACGGTAAAGTTTTATATAAAGTGAAATGTTGTTTCTATCAATCAAGTGATCGACTATAATTAATTATTAGTGAATATTGTGTATGAATGAAAGTTTATTAGAACGATCGATCATTGATCAACGAGGAAAATATGTATATTGAGAATGTATCACAACTAACATATGGTACGTCAGCTCGTTAATGAGAACTCGAATGTAAGTCAAGCATAAATCGATTTATCACGATTTGTCAAGTAACGATACTCCTGCGATAATACGGTTTTCTACCGTTGTGAAGTGCAACGCGAAAACAAACTCAAATGAATATTAATTCCGCTTCTCTGTTTCGCTTTCGAAATCACCTATTCTTTTTTGCAAACTGATACCTAATCTGACCGTGAAATAATTAGAAACAACGACTTAAATTAAAAGTGAAACATTACGGGTACATATAATAGAAAGTATAAAAATAACAAAACATTAAAAAAATAATAAAAATAAATAAAATATTAAACATATCAGTTGAAAACAATATTCAAACACTAAAAATTATGTGAACACAGAAAAATATTTTAAAAAGGTAGATGTACAAACACTAAAAGGGCACATACCTAACCTTCAAAGTTTGTAAAAGGGATTGATAAAAGGGTACATACCTAACTTAAAACAGAAATATATTTTAAAAAGTCTAAAAAAATGTTGCATGAAGAAAAGGTGATAAAATATACACGATATTTGAAGTTTAAAAATTAACTTGTTCCCCGCGATAATAAACGCCTAATATCACGTGTCATTAATAAGTTGCAACGGCACGTTCCATTGCCGCAGCGAAGAAACTGGTCTGTAGATGATTTCACTCAGCTTCCAAAGATTATGAATTGATTTATCTGTACTTTCTCCCGAGAGATCATTCACACGTAGACCATATGTTTGAAAATCAGCACCATTGTGGACGTACAAACATACATACGATTTCATAAAAATGCCGAATCACAGTTTGCAGACGGTCGAACAGCAAAATTGTCATTCATTCGTTTCTTTGGTTCAATAATGGCAAAAAAGACTGTTATACCTCAAGGAATTTGATTTTCTTTGGACAATTGAACGCTTCAGTGGTTTAACATTCTTGTTTCTTTTAAAGGGTACTTGAAAATGATACTTTCGATGGAAGAAGAGGATTTAATAATTTTCAAAGAAATTCCTGAACATGATTGTATGATATAGTTAGAAGACAACATTTAATTTGGAGATAAATGCATCATAAGAAACAGTGAATAATTAGGGAATTTGTAAGAAGCTTAGTTTATGAGAAATAATATTGTAAAATAAATAATTACCTCATTTTGTGAAAGTGCAATAAATATATTGTTTATAAAATTATTTTTCATAAATGCTTATGATTTTAGAATATATACGTAATTTCATTGTTAATGACAACTTTCGTGTCTTTATGGCTTGTCAACTTGTTTTTATATTAAGTCCAGCCTGAAACAATATTCCATACTTTCATTTATGTCATTAAAATGATATTTGCATTTATACACTTTAACAGGGGAAAGTTGGCTTCATTAAGTTTCTTTTGAAAAATTATCTTTATTACATGTAACCTCAATCACAAATAATACACACTCAGTTGCCATAAACTACCTAATATTTTCAATTATACAAGGAGAAAGTTTCATTTTGACAACAAAACGATTTCGATTTATCGTTTACATAGGGATTCAGCAAAAATCAACGAAACTTCGCAAGTCGAGTACGCACCATCTACAAGAAACGTGGAAACGGCACTGATTTCACAAATTCGATCTCGAACGCTTCATAAGGCATCTTAATTGAAACAAAATGAAAGCTAAATAAGTACAACTGGGAGAACGCGCGCACTTGCACTTGCTACAAGTTCACGGTGAGGTTAGAAAAAGAGCATCGAACCAGCTCGAAATCGAGTGGTTCTGTTCGAAAAGATTCGACGAAACGTTTTTTCCCGTAGATGATCGAGAGATAGCGTTCGTTTCATTCCGTATATGCGTGAAAGTTATATACGACGTTTTCATCTTTAAGTGAATGACCGGATAACGTGCGCGGACCCACTCGTTAAACGTAGGATAATGGCAGTAAATTGCGTACGCGCACGCAACAGCAGTGCTTCAAATAGCTTTTATTCGCTCGATCGATATCCTTTCTGTTTTATCGACCTGTCACAAAATGTAGTACAGCTTCAGGAATGTTTCGATCGTTGTAATTTGATATTTCGCTATTAGTAGGTACATATTCTGTAATTAGGCACACTATTTGCGACATGGAAATGTGTGGAAAATATGTAAAGTTTCTAGGACATAATTTTGTTTCTCTTTTCTTTTTTATCTGTGTTTCAAAAATAATTTAGTAGAGCAAATGTTTTTGTATTCAATATGTCATTTTAGAATTATTATATCTTCATGATATATCACAGACGAAGTATAAAATTCTGTAATTATATTCTGAATAAACTTTCGACATTAGCACTATAATTGTCGATTCATTTTCCACGAATATTTCCTGTATATGTAGTCTTAAACTGGCAAGTTGAAGAATTTAGGTCAAATTTTCCCTATACATGCAAAAAAAAAGAAAAGAACAAACGCAGATGCGCATCGATAGCGCTCATGCATAATTGGTTTAGGAAGTTAAATATAACCTTATGTTTTGAATTGAACATTAAAACCTGCTTGAAATATTTGCAAAATTGTTATAATGACCATGACATTTATTGTATAAGTCAAAATAGTCTAGATAATACTTCACAGTAAAAGATAAGCCCATATGTCCTTGTTTGCATTATCGTAGAATGCATTTTAAGTTTCATTTTATCTACTTTTACTGAAAGTTCAGTTTAAGAGAGGCGGATCAATCTAATAAGTTTTTATTTACAAGTACAGCCAGATTTTTATCGAATACTTACGAATAATTGACAAAACAAACGCTATCGTGATTTTTTTGCAGGCAATGGCGAGCTTAATTAATTCCACTACAACCCTAATAAATGACGCCTACGACTATTACCTTTGGACACTATCCCTCGCTGGTAAGTCGCAACATTTCTATGAATAACAAGTACAATTCTTTTTCAAATAAAAGCTAACAAGTTTCTTATTTCATTCATTATACCGAATTATAAAGTTTGACATTGCTAAAAAGAAGCTTTAAAAATAAATGTATAGAAAATAAGTATTCAACAACTACCTGTTACCGTGGGTTACCTGTTATCATAAGATTTTTTTACCCACAAGAAAATTCAAAAACGGAAATACTCTCACATCACTGTAATTAATGTTCAACGTTAACATCTGTAGATGAACGAACGAGAGGATGGCTTCTGGTCGATTCGCCAAAACCTACTTTGATATACACGATGTTGTATTTACTCATTGTATGGGCCGGGCCAAAGATCATGCGAAATCGAAAAGCCTTCAAGTTAACGTGGGCACTCGTTCCGTACAACCTCACGATGGCCTGTCTCAACGCGTACATTGCGATTCAGGTATATAGATTTCAATATGAGAATCAATTATGTATACCCTTAACATCGATCTGTACATTTATCCTTTGCAGTTGTTCGTAGCTTCCACCAGGTTACATTACAGCTACGTTTGTCAACCAATAAGGCACGTAACTCGTCCAGATGAATTACAGGTACGTTAAAAATACTGAATAAAATTAATATTACATATAAAAACAAAATATTCTTGCTCGTTTTAATAATTATTTTTTGTATTAGATCGCCCACGCTGTCTGGTGGTACTACTTCAGCAAACTTCTGGAGTTCTGTGATACGTTCTTTTTTATCCTGCGGAAAAAGGATAATCAATTAAGCTTCCTCCATGTTTACCATCACTCCACTATGTTTTCGCTGTGGTGGATTGGCATCAAATGGGTCCCAAGTGGATCTAGTAAGTATCCATCTGTATCAAACTCTCGTACCAATTTTAGAAAGACAGTCAATCGGCTAAATATAAACTCAAGCTCAAAATAATTAATAAATCTACTCTTTTCAATTCTGATATTCGAAAAAATATCATCTTCATCTCAAAATGATGCAAAAATTAAACTTAATTGTGAAAAGTAATTGTTCAAATGTATTAAATTAGACTGCTTTACCGACTGTGATATTATAAGTGATACATTTTTCTTTAAAGTTATAAATATAATCTTCATAGTAAAAAAATGAGAGAAAAGTTCGGTGAAATAAATGTGTATCAATATAGACACGATGACAACTTCTCACTATGATCAAATTTTTCATTAAACTATCTACTTTTCAGCTTTCCTGCCAGCAATGGTAAACAGCTTCATCCACGTCCTCATGTATTCGTACTATGGTTTGGCGGCATTGGGACCCTCCGTAGCTAAATACCTCTGGTGGAAGAAATACCTGACAATCCTTCAACTGATACAATTCACCACTGCCTTGATTCTCGGCATCAATGGCATTCGTTCGGGATGCGATTTCCCTTTATGGATGCAATATGCTCTCGTCATTTATATGGTCTCTTTCATCGTCCTATTCGGAAACTTCTACGCCAAAGCGTATATTGCAAAGGTAACACGATCTATAATTATCCTAACCTTAATGTTTCTTCTAAAAGAGTTCTCAAAGTTTTAAGAAAAGAACAGATAAGTTATTTGACATAGTAAATTCCTAACTAACACGAAATATCAATTGTCTAGGGCAAACAAGCGTACGCAGAGAGACAATTAGAAAAAATGAAAGCCAGTAGCCAATCAAAGAAGGAAATTACCGACGGAGTTGTGTGCAATGGAAACCTTATGAATGGACACACCAATGGATACGCGAACGGTGTATCCAAAAAGACTCAGTGAAAAGTACTCTATTAAGTTCTTCATTAAGATATTAACGTCGCTTAAGTTACAAACTATACACGGTTACGAAAGGGAAGTGAACGAAAAATTCTTCGATATCTCGTTCGATCGGTAACGATGAACCGGAATCAAAGCACATTCGATTGGAACTTTTTAGTTCTTACAATTATCGCTTCGTTCGCGGCAGGCGATGCACGATACATGTAACAGTTGCAGAAAATTCGGATTTAATAGAAAAGAAAACCGATGTTTCTCTGACGAATCTACTGTAAACTTACCGGCCTGCGATTTTTTATTCTTGGACCAGTTGCACAAAGTTCGACGGATCGCTGGTCTAAGGTATTGTAAATACAAATTAGTCGAGTACATTAGCAGTTTAGTCGTCAGTAGGCGAATTATTGCGAGATTGACTATGGTCGAGTACGGTATTGTTGCATAAGCTTAAAACTAAGCGATCTTTTTGTAACCGATGATATTAAAAACTTACCTTGTAAAAAGAGAGAAAAAAAGGTACAGAAGATAAAAATGACACGGACGTCATATGGGGAACTGCCATTAGTTTCTGTTTCTCGCGGTAGACCTAAGGTTAGAATTCAAAGTGTTGCGGTCACGTTAAGGTTGTAACCTACATTTGCACACTTGACGTCTAGTTAATATTGTATATCCGTGAAATTCAGATATCTTACAAACAATATCTTTGAATAAATGGAAATGTACCATTCTAACACGATCATAAATCAGTATCATGAAAGTTATGAAGAAAACATTAATTTAAAAATTTTGAAATTACATGCCTAACATTGTCTTTACGAATGATTGAAATTATTTAACGAATTTGATATTTGTAGGGTAATAAAAAATATTCGTTGTTAATTTTACTCGAAGATCTGTTTATTATATATTTATTGGTAACATATTGATAAGTTAGATAAATATTTATACAGAGCATTTTTCTACATTTAATATTTTACATACACATATTAAATGCATGTGTATTACATTACAACAGAAAGTATCAAAATAACAAGATTTTTTATACACAGATTCTTCGAGAAATTTGTCCATGAAAACAAAACATGTCATAAAAGTTGAAACAAAATTTAATGTACAAAATATATGATCATGATCATTTTTGTAAAAATCTACTACAATTATTTATGCATGTTTGTTTATCTGAAGTATTTTTAAAATTAATAGGCAGTAAAATATTGTTAATATGTTTTATTACTGTCCCAATATGTAAAGAACATTACAATTGTTATAAAAAGAGCATTGCTGTGCAGTGCAAAAAACAAAATGATGCATTATGTTTATTTCTACTATTTGTTCATCTTACCTTTCCGATAATGCTACAAAGATACAAAACAGCAACTAACAAAATTAAATGTAAAAAAGTTATAGAAGTGTATTATGTTGTATATTGTCAATATAATATGTGTATGTATTAAAATCAGACTAAAATTTCTCTCACTGTAAAAATATTTATTTCTTGTACTTAATTTGAGTTAAAAATGTAATATTGAAAGTAGTTAAAAGATAACAGAATACTTTTATAAAAAAATGTATATTGGATTTACAAAAATAAAAATTGTGAAAGTCTTTTCTTAAGAACGTGATAATATAATTGTATAATGAATTCCTAATTTCATATACAATTATTATTAAATTAAATGATCCAATAATAAAAAAAAACAACTACATTATTATATACAGAATTTAACATTGTCTAGCTTGTTTATGGAAACTGTATTTTTTATTATATTTTTTCACGTTTTTATATTTAAGTATTGATGACAAAAAATTGCAAATTTTCATTTGTTTCCAAAAAAAAGCTATGCAATGTTTTGTCACATATACTTGTGTCTATTCATTTGGTCATTTTTACTGAAAGCAGTATCATTTGCAAAATTTCAGTGTGATAAAAAAAAGTAACTATCCTACTTTACAAACATTGTAATGCTAATTTTAATGGAATATACAAATATGTAATAAACAAATATAATCAGTAAATACTAAATTTTGATTAGTATGCCACGTAAGGGGGTATTCCCGTTTGACGGGTCAAAACAATCAAATTTTTTTGCATTTTTCTATAGTTTTTTTTATCGAAAAAATGTGTCTGTAAAGTATTACAAAGAAATTCGTAAAATTACCAGGGCTATAGAGATGTAAATGTCACGCCGTTTAAATACGTTTTTTTGAAAACGTGTTTTAAGACGGCCACATTGATTTTTCAGAAACTACTAGACGAATTCGAACTTCGAACATACTTGAATATATGTATATACAGAACGCCACGTATGTTGAGCTTATAGATTCTGCTAAATAAATTCGCAAATATTTCGTTAAAAATGGTTGTTCAAACGGGAATACCCCCTTACTATGTAAATAACTAATCACGACTTCTAAGAATTACAACAGCTAACCAAACTGATGAAATTTTACCAACATAAGGCTGCACATAACACACCACTGCAAATTCAACAGGACCATTAATATCATAAATCTTTGTTGCACGTAAATGTTCACTCAAATCGTCAATATGACATTCGCGTTTATTTAAAATAAAGCCATGAATATGATAAGCTCTATATAATTGTTTCAAATCTCTCCTATCTAGTTGTACTTCTGAAGAAGGTTCTATTTTGAAAAGAAAATTTCGTAAAATGGTTGTCGCATGTCGATTAAATATTGTTGTTAAGCCAATTGCACTACGCCAATGAGCCAACTTATCTTTCAGAAACAGCTCTATATCTATGGCTGTTTTCTTAATTTGTTTCATTTCTGCATCTGTAATATTTAATTCCAATACTTGAAGAGTATGATCACTTTTTGATGAAGCAGTAGTATCAAGGGATCTCCATTCTTTAGTTAATTTCACATCATACTTTAAATTATGAGGTAGAATAGATTTTTGTAAATTTTCCCATGTCTACAAAGATAATACTTATAACAATAAAACTATTTATTCCTTTATACTAACATGTCATACAAATTATTATACTAACACCAGAGTGGTTGATTAGACGAGATACCTTCATTAAAGGACAAAGACTATCATCCAGTTTATAATAACTTCCCACTTCTGGATCCCATAGTGTGTGTATTGCATTTTCACTGATACTTAAAACAAATGATGTCCATTTGCTTATTTGTGAAGACCCTGGTATATTACTCATAAAATTTCAATCTATATTAATGTAATTAAAACTCTATGAAATTATCACATACCTAATAAAACATATGTTTGTAAATCAAAGCCTTGTAATAATACTGCAAGTAAAGCTGCTCTTCCATAGTGATCCACTTTCTTTATGTTTAATGCTTGACGTGGTGTAATTGGTCCATAATGATTTGGTAGTGAAGGTAAGAGCATTGCCAATTTTGCTGCATCCTTGGGATTTTCTAAGCCACTAATTTTATATGATGTACCAAGACACCGTTGTATCCCTTTCAATAACATATTTATAGTAGAACTTTCAACAGATTTAAAAGCACTGGGATGTTCTATTTTAAGTAGAACATAAATTCGAGTACATGGTTGACCAGGGCTAGCTGGGATGTATCCAAATAATAGCACTGGACTGAATAAAGGAGATAGTGTAATCCACCTTTCAAGCTCTTGATAATTTCTGTGATGTTCAAGAGGAATTCTGGCTTCACCTAGCCACTGTTGACCCCAAATAGGATGCTGATCATACAAACGAAACTTAATACACTGTTCATCATTTTGTCTTGATAATTCAAAGTACATTGTTTGTTGCCATATAGGTGCTGAACCTTCTGCTATAGATGTAGAGTGAATTGTATTACCCCATTCAACTTCTACAAATGGTTGGACCAGTGCAGACTCTTCCCTAATTGGTATTTCTATTCCTCGCAAAACAGAAACAGTCAAAACAGTTCTTCCTATTGTATGATGCCTACGAGTACCAGATGATGATTCTAATGGATGTTTAACTTGGAACAAGTTTCTAAATATATCAAATAAAGAAAATGCAGGTTGTTCTGTTATAACTATATCTGGAAGTTTTGTTTCTTGTACTTCAACTTTTCTAGGAACAATGACTTCTGAACCTGTATCAAAAGTTAATGCTGGATGTTCCAATAAAAAATATTTCACTGGCTTATTCTGTATGTCCTTTGATGGTCTAAGTAAAGATAAACAATTTTGAGGATCATTTGGATCATTACTTAATTTATAAATAGGCATTGGGTATAACTTCTCCTCTGTTTCACCATAATTACTCAAGCTAATTGTACACACTACTGTTCCAGCATGTATATGACCAGAATTATCACTTATAGCAAACTCTATTTCTACTTTATTATTTTCAACATTACATCTTGGTAATGGTAATGGTAATATACTGGACTGACCACTGTTAGCGTGCACTTGAATGGAAAGATTAAAACACTCTGAATTCTTGATTAGCAATTTATGCAATTTTCTATTAAAGGGACTACTTGTTTTAAATATAACTTTTTTTTTGAATAAAAAATAGACAGACATGATTTCAACTGAATCTGATTGATCTTGTAAGGTATTAATGTTTACTTCACGAATTACAATTTCTAACAATTTACCGGAAAATTTACGTTTCGATTCGTATTCTAAAACTTTCATAGTTTCAAACTGAGAAAAACTAAGATCTCTGTATACAAATGGATTATCAGAAATATATAAACCATCCTCAACAAATGTGTCTTGATCTAATTGTCGTATGTTTTTATTATCATTTGTATTAGTAAGAACATTCATTTCCGGTTTTTCATCTATAGTAGGATATGTATAACAAAGACTTAGATCTTTTTCTTTTTCATCTTCAGTATGTTGTGCACATCCTTTAACAAAATTAATATCCTGATCGGACATATTAACATTACATTAACGTAAAACTATTTCCAATGTAAAATAGTTCAAATTTTCCACAAAAATACCAACGCAACAGAAATACTTTATATCATTCATTTAATGTTTACATTAAAACGTTACTTAGCAACATGTAAATAGTGGTGTCAATGAAAGCGCCCTCTGGAAAATCCCAACTTCACCATCAAATTGACCTTTGCTTGCGGGCATGAAATTACATGTTGTAAAAGATAAATTAATCATTTTGATAATCTACTCAACCTGATCTACTCAAATGAATCATTCATTTTGAGGTTAAGATATCTCTCAATCGACTTAAATATAATTAATAAGTAAATTGAAATTAATACCATTGAATAGTCATTGAAGAAAGTTTAAATAACTAGGTTATAGCCATTAATTTGTAAAAAGTACAAATTGCATGTAATTATGAGGATATTTAATTATAAAATTTCTAGAAACTCCCGTCGACCGGTACTGTGCTAAAATGCATGTCTGGAAGCAGCTGTATACCGCAGAACTGCTAATATTAAGCTGTTCCCCTCAACCGTAACAAAACAGATGTTTGTACCGGTTTTTATTCTTTACTTCTTGTACGTACGTGCAGCTTAAGAAAAGAAATTTATCCTTTTCTTTCATAACAAAATTGTTAGACAAATATGACAAAAACGAATAGAATTCATTAAAATTAGTACACGCCCACAATACCTCTCTACTTATATATATATCTCAATGGTCGGTAAACTGCTTGCAGATTTCTACTTAAGCTTAGGAATTAGTATGAATGAAATATTTTAATAATTATAATTTAACTAACATATAAATTTCTTAGTTAACAAAAAATACTGTAAAAAGGTATTATCTACATATGTATGTGCAACATGTTTCAAAACTATTTAGGATAGTAGAGAAGGAATCTATAATTTATTTATACCTTTTAACAAAAAAGTGTTGCATAGAAGAAATTATATTGGTTGACAGGTGTATATTTCTTGTATACTTCGGGAAGTATGGTCATTTTATTAAGGTTAGATTTATCCTTCGATTAAAGATTCAAATTATTTTCACTTTGTGTGAATTCTTTTTCTCAATCGAATTACATTTGTAGCATAATCTTTACGATCGAAAGATTTCGCAAGGCTGAAGGAGATACAAAACTGTAAAGAGGTCAGAAACCGCAATAAGGTGAGATCGCAGAATCAAGAGTAAAGAGCGGATACGGTTTGTGCTCATGGGCAGGAAGTAGATCAACTACAATTCATCGTATAATCAATCTGCCGAAGTTTACAAGCTGATCTTAGATGCATTCTTCACTGTAATTTTATGCACTATCTTTCTTACAATCGAATTGTTATTTAACATGTTTGACGAATTAAACTGTTATTAATAAATTAATGTTCATCCGGTTCATTAATTCCTTGTATATTTTTTCATACAACTACAATTATCTTCATGAAATTGTAAATAAAATTAATTGTTATGAGTTAGTACTTATTATAATTGTTACTATATTAGTATTTTTTGTTTCAGAATTAGAATGTCTAAGAAAATAAAATTCAAAGTATGTGATATTAATATTTCTGCATGTTTCCTCC